CGCCCTGCGTTCTAAGCCTCTCTCTTAGTTTTCCGTCTATTCACTTCTGTGTTCTTCTCAGCTCGTCACTTCCGGTTTTCTGTTTGCACGTTGGCTCGTCACTTCTATGCGTTCAAGCTTGCGGTTCTATCTTTGTATCTATTCTTTGTAGTATTTCCGGATGAACGTGACCAGGGCAAAAGGAAGTATTTCTGAATCATTTATAGACATATTTTCATACTCTATCTGTATTTCTTGAATATTTCTGATATTCTTCTAATTTTTAATCCCTTATTAACTTTCCGATACAGCTGAGCCATAAAACAGCACTAAATGGAATCTTTGATTTTAGCTTTGGAAGAACATAAATCAAAATCTAAAGCATTGCTGTCAGGAGGATCACCAGAATTATCCATTTGAGAGAGGATTGGAGTGCAGGGTATTCTCTTTCATTGTTCAAACTGAGCTCAACTCCTGATGCATGGAGAAAAGGCCTTCACAAGCCTCTGCTATTGTGTACATAGTTTATACTAAGTGACCCATAGGTTGAGGAGGCGGTGACCATGGCGGTGTAGGTGGAAGCAGTGGTGGAGGAGGAGGAGGTAGCCAACACTCTTTTTTACTTGTTTGTTTTGTTTTTTTTTAAATTGGGGTAGCCCCCAAAATATTGGGACATATAAAAAAATAAACATTTGCGGCCTGCGGTGCATTTCTTGCAGTCCAATAACGCCATCAGGTTTTTAAAACTGTCCGTCTCCACTAGATGGAATGACAGCATTTCAAAGGCCAGGAATTTTGAAATGCTGGCATTCAGGGCCAGGGATTGTGGAAGGGTAGGGGGGTACTTCCTCTTTCTCTCCAGTGTTTGGGAGATGGACAGCTGAACGCTTCCATGGGACAGTGTGGAGATGCTGGAAAATTGTGTACCAGGTCTATGCTGGTGTTCCCGTCTATATATATATATATATATATATATATATATATATATATACACACAGCAAATGACATCAAATGTAAGTTTCAGCTATGTAGATCTTGCATTAGTTTTTGCTTGTTAACTTATTTCTGTACTTTAAAATTCAACAAATAATGTTAAAAAATGAATCAGATATAATTAAGGGTATTAGAATTACAGTAATGGAGAATGTTAAGCCAGAGAAAAAGGGAGGAGGTAAGTAACTGAGGTGTTAGAATAGAGGCAGTACCATGGCTTAGAATATCAGAAGTGATTTTGGTGACGGATCCAAGAGCTCAAGTTGGAGGTGACTGAGCCATTGGAGGCATGATTCCAGTAGTGGCCTGTGCGATAAAATGGATTTACTGGCAGCAAGAATACATTTTTCAATTTGCTCTTTTTCTCAAAATTATTAAAGCATTCAGGATTGATTGTTGGGTTAGGATCTATCCAGTGGAAAGGAATCAGCACTTTTTGCAATTATATGCCAAGAGATCTTTTGTAGATGGAAATACAATGTCTCAGTGTGAATATTTCAATCTTTATGAAATACTAATTCATTTATTGTGGGGTTTTTTTGGGGGGGGGCGAGGGGGTGTAAGAGTTGCTTTACGGGTTTATCATAGTATTATTTGACCATACTAGTTTGTAAAAAAATTCACAAGAAAAAAAAACACAAAAAAAATTAAATTTTATTTTCATATAGAGTGGATCCAGTACAAAATAGACATCAACCTGGCAAAGTCTCATATTCCAACCTAAATATACCCTCGCCACAGATCAATCATGGCAACTGGCACTATTGATTAAATCGCAGGTATGATACATGTATCTTGTTCAAAATACAATATATTTGGGGCATTAAGATCACTTGATACAGAAAGTAAAGTGCACTCTATAGGATATTTTTGGCATGCCTCATCACGCTTGGCGTCCTCTTATTGGTTTATTTTTTTTATGCTTTTTTAAAGTACCACCAAGTTGGGGGTAGGGGTTTAGAATTTACGTACAAATGCTCACGTTAAAAAAAATAATAATAATAGCTGGAGAATGTGATTCTCAAATAAGCTTATTATTCCATTAGACTTCTAGTAGTTAAATTACTCAGGAGAGTCTCTATGTTTCCAAGGGTTCTACAATATATGTGCTAAGATACCAACGTAAAATAGTGTAATTCACAAGAAAAGAGGAAGCAGAACCCCTAAAAAGTGTGCTCCTGTATTACTTGCAAGCAGTACACAAAAACAAGTAGAACCATTTATTGTTTTCTCCTTTCTTTTTTTTTCTTTAACTCTTTACAGAAAAAGTAGAAAATCTTAAATATAACTGACATGGATTAAATTGTGACTATTTACAATCAGATATTGTAAAATGGTAAATTAGATATGAAGCTAAAAAGGCACGGCTTTCCCTTTTCCTTAAATACACTGTAAACAGTTTGTATTCCATGCAAAACATTTCACTCTACAAAAAGAAATTGCCTTATTTAGGCAAAGATAGTACTTAAATAGTCTCCATCAAAATAGAATTCTTTCAAAAATACTTTCCTATACTTTCCATTCATCTTCTGTCTGTAAATATGTTTTTTCCTCATTTACAAAATTTCCATACATTTTGTGATTCAGGTCCTTCACAATTTATACATATAGAGCAATATACAGTACAGCGTGGACTGCCAAAATTATTTGTAAAGCCAGCACAATATACAGTAGCTACTATAAATTGAGATAGGGCATTTGTTTTAACATCATATCATTTTCCTCTCATTTAAATAAATGACTAAGTTACACACTAGGATTCATGTAAAAATTGCAGAGTTCTCCTATGGTACAGGAATCTGGACTATGTCTTGGTGGAAAATCGTGCACTGAGCGTGCATGATCACCTCTCACTATGCAACAAACGTTAAAACAATCCCAATCCTTAATCTACAGTATGATTGATAACATGGGACAACAAATGCCATGGATGGGATGTGAATATTAAACATCAAATGTTCCTTATATTTCTTTTATACAACATGTTTCTTTTTATTATTATTTTTCTGTACAAGAAAAGAATATGTAATGCCCCATATTAACTGTACACTGTGTGTGCAAACCAAGGGAAGTCTTTTAAAAAGTCCTTATTTGTCCATAACCCCATAAAAACAAACAAAACCCAGAAACTCCATAGCATATTTAAAACTTCATTATGTTAAAATATCAAAATTAAACAGTTTTTGATTAGATATGGCTTTTTATCCATAGAAACAGGAGCAAGTTTCAACTGTTTGGGTAGGTACAGCTTTCATTATTTCCATTTACACCATTTTCAGTCCCCAATCAGTCAGAGGATTATTTACTTTTGTTTGTTTGTTTTTCATCCAGCTGACAAATAAAACATTATTCATAATGTCTAATATTGTTTCTTCAGTCCTGCTTGGGTATGGAACATCAGAGGAAACTTAAGGCAAAGTTCTCCTTTAAGACTTTTCTAGATACTTTCTGTGAAAGTACAAAGGCTTGGCATTCCCAGACTCCACCTTTGGTAATTGATCACTAATTATCTCCACAAGCATCGCAGGAAACTCCACCTTTAGCGCCTGAGATTCCCTAAATGTATAGAAGCAGAATTCCAACAAGTCGCCAACAACCTGAAAACAAACAAGAAAAAAAACATATTTAGGTAAAAAACAAACAGTGGTAATTAAGAAGAATCTGATGTTTTTTAAAACATGCATACATTATGTTTTCATAAGTTGCTATTAACAATAAGCAGTACTTTACACCACATATTCAAACTAAACGAGCTGTCCAAATGCTGGGAAGAGGTTTATTGAAAATGTTCAGGACTCTGAAAAAGATTGGGATTGCAAGATTTGTGTGATAGATGTCTGAGGAGAGCCAATTGCTGAAACATAGAAACATAGAATGTGACGGCAGATAAGAACCATTCGGCCCATCTAGTCTGCCCAATTTTCTAAATACTTTCATTAGTCCCTTACTCTATCTTATAGTTAGGATAGCCTTATGCCTATCCCACGCATGCTTAAACTCCTTTACTGTGTTAACCTCTACCACTTCAGCTGGAAGGCTATTCCATGCATCCACTACCCTCTCAGTAAGTAATACTTCCTGATATTATTTTTAAACCTTTGTCCCTCTAATTTAAGACTATGTCCTCTTGTTGTGGTAGTTTTCTTCTTTTAAATATAGTCTCCTCCTTTACTGTGTTGATTCCCTTTATATATTTAAATGTTTCTATCATATCCCCCCTGTCTTGTCTTTCCTCCAAGCTATACATGTTAAGATCCTTTAACCTTTCCTGGTAAGTTTTATCCCGCAATCCATGAACCAGTTTAGTAGCCCTTCTCTGAACCCTCTCTAAGGTATCAATATCCTTCTGAAGATACGGTCTCCAGTACTGTGTACAATACTCCAAGTGAGGTCTCACCAGTGTTCTGTACAATGGCATGAGCACTTCCCTCTTTCTACTGCAAATACCTCTCCCTATACAGCCAAGCATTCTGCTAGCATTTCCTGCTGCTCTATTACATTGTCTGCCTACCTATAAGTCATCAGAAATAATCACCCCTAAATCCCTTTCCTCATATGTTGAGGTTAGAACTCTATCAAATATTCTGTACTCTGCCCTGAAAGCAGAATTATGGGAATTTACATTATTATCAAATGAGAAAAGTATTAGTACTAGAGTAAATTCAATCCTTAGAGGTACACTCCAAGAACCATAAACACTATAAGCCCACAGTAGTGGTTATGGTGCTAGGATTGCACTGGTGCACCCCTACAGTAAGGTGTCAAACCATTTTAGAAAAGTTTGACAATTTACCTGGGTCACACTGGAAGCCTGGTCTTCTCCTGCAGAAGCCAGATGTCTCAGGGTGCTCAGCTAATACTCTAAGCCAATAAGTGTGGTTCTGCTTTATTGTATACAGCAATTTAGCTTGTTCTGCTTGAGACAGACAGAAGCGATGGATGCGGCGTCAAATGTCTTGCAGATAAGGACACTTCTGGCACCATAACCACTACAGAGGGCTATAATGATTATGGTGCTTGGAATATTCCTAAATCTATATATATATATATATATATATATATATATATATATATATATATATATATTTGTCCCAGCATCAAAATTGGGATTTCCATCTGGAAATTAAAACTAAAAAGTATTTTTGTCAAGAAGTAAGCATGTCTCTCTAGTAAAGCTTCAATAAAATTTGATTTTTAAAAGCTGCTGTTGATTTCGCTAACTCCTCCACTGCTCTAAAAGCCAGAACCACTGGCTACGGGTGTCCATTTAAAGGAACATTGTAGAGTTTGGAATACATATCTGTAATCCTAACACTACAGCCCTGATGTAGCTGTCTAGTTTATGGCCCACACAGGTATTACAAAATAAAAACAAAAACAAAAAACGATCTAAAACAAAACAAATAACTCACCTTTTTTCCAGTGCTGAGTCTCCCTCGACACTTCTGCATCTTCCTCTAGAATGAGGAGCATTGGTGAGCATCACTTGCTGTGATGCGCCTAAGATTCTGCCGTAGAGAATTCTGACACTGAATACAATGATTCTCAATGGCAGACTGTGACGGCAATGCGCATACGCGCATGATGTCACGAAATTGGGGGGTAGAACTGCAGGCACTATAACAACTTCAATTAGATGAAGTTGTTAAAGTGCCTACAGTGTTCCTTTAAAACCGGGAAAAGAGATGACAATCTATCTTGTTCAAAATAATTATTCAACAGCAAACATACAATGTAAATATAAAAAGTATGTATTTTAATATAGCAGATTACCGTAATACTTTCAAATTTGGACATATTTTAAAGTACATATCTTTTAAAAGACCTCTGGAGTTCTACTATTTATAGTGATATTCCAACTTAATAATGATAATCATAACACATTTATATAAATTCATTCGGCTTTACAATTGCATGAAATAAAGTTACACTAACAATAGATGCCACGTAGGACTGCCCTCTACAAACACACTACATTTATTATTCATACTCTGCATTCACTACAAACACACTACATTCATTATACACACTGCACTCACTACAAACACACTACATTCACTATACACACTCTGCATTCATTATACACACTCTGCACTCACTACAAAAACACTACATTCACTATACACACTGCATTCACTATACACACTGCACTCACTACAAACACTACATTTATTATACACACTGCACTCACTACAAATACACTACATTTATTATACACACTGCACTCACTACAAATACACTACATTCATTATACACACTCTGCACTCACTAAAAGCACACTGCATTCATTATACACACTCTGCACTCACTACAAATACACTACAATTATTATTCACACTGCACTCACTACAAACACACTACATTTATTATTCATACTCTGCATTCACTACAAACACACTACATTCATTATACACACCCTGCACTGCACTATATGCATAGGAGTGTAATTTTTTTTATTTTTTTAAGGGGGGGGGAGGTGGGAATCTTGGGTGAGTTCCCACACTTTTTTCCCCAGGACTTGACCCCTGGGTGCTTGTATATAGTTATTGTGTTTTAATATAGGGGTGTGTGTGTATGTAATGTTTGCATTTGAATGGAGGGGGTTCTCTGAATGTAATGTTCACTTTTAAATGTGGATGTACATTTGTGTGAAGTATTTGTGTTTGAGTGCAGGGGTGTGTATGAAATATGTGAGTTAGATTGCAGGAGTGTGTTTGTATGTTGTGCTGGTGTTTGACTGCTTGGACGTATGCACATACACTACCACATTTATACATACACAGATATTCAGGCACATTAACACACAGATGCATATACACCCTGTTCCAAATTATTATGCAAATTCTATTTAAGTGTCACAAAGATTAAATATTTTGTTTTTCAGTTTAACTCATGGATGGCATTGTGTCTCAGGGATCTTTTGATCACTGAAAACAATCTCGCACACCTGTGATAATTAGATTGCCAGGTGAGCCCAATTTAAGGAAAAACTACTAAAGGAGGGTGTTCCACATTATTAAGCAGTGCACCATTTTCATGCAATATGGGGAAGAAAAAGGATCTCTCTGCTGACGAAAAGAGTGAAATAGTTCAATGACTTGGATGAGGTAGGAAAAAATTAGATATTTCCCGAAAACTTAAGTGTGGTCATCGCACTATTAAGAGATTTGTGGCTGATTCAGAGCACAGACGGGTTTGTGCAGATAAAGGCACATTGAGGAAGATTTCTGCCAGATCCATGCATCGGATCAAGAGAGCAGCTGCTAAAATACCATTACATAGCAGCAAACAGATATTTGAAATTGCTGGTGCCTCTGGAGTCCCACGGACATAAAGGTGTAGAGTCCTGCAGAGTCTTGCAACTGTGCATAAACCTAAAAATCTATTCGGCCATCACTAACCAATGCTCACAAGCAGAAATGGCTGCATTGGGCAGAAAAATACATGAAGACTAATTTTCAAACAGTACTGATCACTGATGAGTGCCGTGCAGCCCTGGATGGTCCAGATGGATGGAGTAGTGGATGGTTGGTGGACGGCCACCCTGTTCCAACAAGGCTGCGACGTCAGCAAGGCGGTGGTGGAGTCATGTTTTGGGCCGGAATCATGGGAAGTGAGCTGGTCGGCCTCTTTAGGGTACACGAAGGTGTAAAGATGACCTCTGCAAAATACGTGGAGTTTCTGACTGACCACTTTCTTCCCTGGTACAGAAGGAAGAACTATGCTTTCCGTAATAAAATGATCTTTATGCATGACAATGCACCATCTCAAGTAGGCATGTGCATGGGGAAAATTTTCGGTTCGGCATTCCGAAATTCGGGACTTCGGCAATTCGGCACTTCAACACTTTGGAACTTCGGCACTTAAGCACTTCAGAACTTCAGAACTTCGGCACTTTGGAAATTCTGCAACTTCGGCACTTCGACACTTTGGAATTTCGGAACTTCAGCATCTCGGAATTTCGGGACTTCTCTTGCTGCCACTTAGTAGATAACTCTGTGTAATGAGTCAAATTACACAGCGTGGGAAAATCCCAAAGAACTTTCCCATGCTATGTAAAATGACACAGAGCACTCTGATTGGTGGATTTCAAGCCAACCAATCAGAGTGCTGTGACAGGTGAATGTAGAGACTTACCTGTCAGTCTCTTCATTTATCTGTCAGAGCACTCTGATAGGATGGCTTAAACCCACCAATCAGAGTGCTCTAAGCCTATTTGCAGGGTGGGGCAAGACTTTATAAGCCTTCCCCCACCCTGCAGAGCTTAGTCTGCACGGAGCCCTCCATGGGTGAAGATGGATTATTATTATTTTTTTTTTTTAATTCTTTATTTTTGTTGTGCATGGGTTTACAGCAGTGCTTGTATAGCCACAACAGCTTCCACAAGCGCATTATTATTTGAACATAGGTAAGTTATGCGTTAAAACTTGCACATTTTTACATTTAATGAGTTGTATGAACAAGCTAAGTTAAGTAATCTCCTATATGAGATTTGCATCTAATAGATAGATTGTATGTGTTAGACAAGTATGCCTAGTTTGATTGGGTGTAGGTTAGCGTTTTGTCTGAGATGGTCTAGGCGCATGAGGAGGAGATTTTGCTTTTCATCATCTTAAGTTAGGTCAGGCTGAAGAAGCCCTGTGTAGGTGCCATATAGTGATCCCTTGGGGGGGGGGGATTGTCACTTAAGGGTTCGGGAGTATTGTGTATGTTGCTTCTCTGTGGGTAGGTCACGTTTTGCATCTGACTGAGTAGGCTCTATACTGAGCTGGTTGCCAGGGTGTGTGGTATCAGGGTTGCCTAGTGAGCATCAGGTGAGTTGGTAGGTCTCGTGCCTGAGGGTTAGTGTATAACTAGTGTAGGGAAGAGAGTGAGGGTGTGGGTATATACGCTCCATTGTGTAGTTCGCCCACTCCTGAGGGGGGTATTTGTTGGGGATTATGGGGGGTAATCGCCATCTCGGTCGTGTAATTGTCAACCCAAATTCGGGTTTTCATGACTAGCCGTCGTGTAGTTTAAAAACATAAACTGAAGCATTAATGCTAAGCGTTGAACACATTTTAAACAGTAGGGCTTTGTTGGGGTGTTCGGCTGTCTTGTCGAGTTGCGTTTAAGTATTTAGTGTTCAGTCCTGCTAAGGCTCCATTTCCCCTGATGTGGCGGCTCTCGGTGTGAATATGGCCGTGTTCACTGGGTCCCAGGCTTTGGATGGTTTGTCTTGTGTTCTTACGGTCTGGCCTGCTATGCCTAGTGATGCAAGGAAAGAGGGTATATCTGCCCCTGCTTCTAGTGTGTGGACAGTCCCGTTATGCGTAGCATACAGCGTTCCAGGGGGGCCCCATCTGTATGTTACCCCAGCTGTTCTGAGTTGGGAAGTGATCGGTGCCAATGATTTGCGCCATTGCAGTGTGGCTCGTGTGAGGTCCTGGTAGAAGGTTAGAGAGGCGCCTTCAAAGGACAGCGGTGTTTTACCCTTCAGGGCTAGCATAATCTGGGCCTTATCCTGAGAGGTGGCGCAGCGGAGTATGACGTCTTGCATTTGGCCTGGTTTTGCCGTGGGTGAGCCTGGTAGTCGAAATGTTCCTTCAATGGTTAATTTCCTGGTCACTGGGTGAGGTAAGATGGTCGCCATCAATCGCCTGGCATAGTGTGGTAGTTCATCTGCGCTAATGTTAGCAGGGACTCCCCTTATCTTAACATGGTTGCGGCGTAGTCTGTCTTCAAAGGCCGTCAGCCTGAGCGACAAGGCTGATTGGTGCACTTGGAGCTGAGTAACTGTGTCTTTAATTGTGGTCAAGTCAGAGTTAATGCTGCCGATGTTTGTTTCAGCTTGTGTTACTCGGCCTGTGACTGCCTGTATGTCTGCTTTTATTTGCTGGAGGTCTGCAGCCCAGACCTTGTGTATGTCTGCCAGCAGTGCCTTTAAATCAGCTTTGGTAGTGGGAGCTGTGCCATCATAGGGCTCTTGGGATGGGGCCTGATCTGTCTGCAGGGCTTGTGTGATCCCTACCTCATCACTCTGCCTCGTGGCTTCAATGTGTGTAGGCTGCAGTACCTCTGTGGAGGGTGTTTTGCCCGGCGCCGGTCATTGCAGCATGGTGCCAATATCCCTGCACTCTGCCGCTGTGTGTGGTTTTTGGGACCGACGTCCCATTGCTGGCATTTGATGTGGGGATGAGGTGTCTGGGAGTTGCAGGCTGTGTCCCACTCTGCCGATTGCGAGTAGGTCGTCCAGGCTGTAGGCTGGCGTTGCGCAGTAGGCCCCAGACCTGCGTTTTATTTTTGCCTGTCTGGGCGGCTGGAAGAACGGCATCGATGGATGCAGGAACTCTCGGTGAGGTAGGTCGGCCGGGTTGCGTCGCCTTATGGGGTAGGATGCCCGCGATTTTTGGTGGGTTTTAGGCGAATTGCGGGGAGCTGGCTGAGATGGCGTCTACCCTCGTTGGCCGCAAGCTCCGCCCCCTCGGATTATTATTTTTTTTGCACTTGTTTTTTTTAAGTGCGTCGGTTATTATTGCTTTTTATTTGGCCTTTTTTGGGGCTGAAAAAAGATTTTAGAAGAAATAAGACATCAAATGGTAAGTTTTATTTTTTTCACAGGTACTTAGTTAAAGGTCCCCCTCATTATTTTTAGGGTGAGGGGGGTAGGTAGGAGTTTATTTTTTGGGGGGAGGGGGTGACTAGGGGTTTGAGGACCCCTAGTCACCTGGGGGGGTAACATTTTTATTTAGGGCACCCATCTGCCGCTCAGGGGTGGGGGCCGGGGGGGAGAACAATAGGTCCCCTCTCCTATTTAGTATTTAGGCCCCTCACCCACCGCTCAGGGATAGGGGCCAGGGGGGAGGACATTAGGTTCCCCCCCTTATTAGTATTTAGGGTGCCCACCCACCACTCAGAGGTGGGGGCCAGGGGGAGGACATTAGGTCCCCCCCCTTATTAGTATTTATTAGTAACCCTTCAGGTTAGAAGCCCCCACTCACGCAGCACAGGTGGGGGCTCGGGAGGGGGGACCTTTTTAAAAAAATTTTTTTAAAGTGAGCAGCCATAGGCATGCCCCTACTCGCAGTATAGCGAGTATGGCCATAATTTACTAATACTAAGTAACCTTTACTTAGTATTAGTAAATTTGGCTGAAAGACCAATTTAGGTCTTTCAGCCTTTTAGTAGATAGCTCCCTAAAACTGTGGGATTTAGGGAGTTATCTACTTATTCATTCCTGTCATTGCAGAAGGTCTTGATGGTAAGGTATGTCTTTTTGCTGATGATACTAAGATATGTAACAGGGTTGATGTTCCAGGAGGGATAAGCCAAATGGCAAATGATTTGGGTAAACTAGAAAAATGGTCAGAATTGTGGCAACTGACATTTAATGTGGATAAGTGCAAGATAATGCATCTTGGACGTAAAAATTTGATAGAGTCCTAACCTCAACAATTGAGGAAAGGGATTTAGGGGTGATTATTTCTGATGACTTAAAGGTAGGCAGACAATGTAATAGAGCAGCAGGAAATGCTAGCAAAATGCTTGGTTGTATAGGGAGAGGTTTTAGCAGTAGAAAGAGGGAAGAGGGAAGTGCTCATGCCATTGTACAGAACACTGGTGAGACCTCACTTGGAGTATTGTACACAGTACTGGAGACCGTATCTTCAGAAGGATATTGATACCTTAGAGAGGGTTCAGAGAAGGGCTACTAAACTGGTTCATGGATTGCAGGATAAAACTTACCAGGAAAGCTTAAAGGACCACTATAGTGCCAGGAAAACATACTCGTTTTCCTGGCACTATAGTGCCCTGAGGGTGCCCCCACCCTCAGGGTCCCTCCCGCCCGGCTCTGGAAGGGGAAAGGGGTTAAAACTTACCTTTTTCCAGCGCTGGGCGGAGAGCTCTCCTCCCTCCTCCTCCTGGCTGAACGCACGCGCGCAAGAAGCGCGCGCATTCAGCCGTCACATAGGAAAGCATTCTCAATGCTTTCCTATGGACGCTGGCGTGCTCTCACTGTGAAAATCACAGTGAGAAGCACGCAAGCGCCTCTAGTGGCTGTCAATGAGACAGCCACTAGAGGATTAGGGGAAGGCTTAACCCATTCATAAACATAGCAGTTTCTCTGAAACTGCTATGTTTATGAAAAAATGGGTTAACCCTAGAAGGACCTGGCACCCAGACCACTTAATTAAGCTGAAGTGGTTTGGGTGCCTAGAGTGGTCCTTTAAAGGATCTTAACATGTATAGCTTGGAGGAAAGATGAGACACAGGGGATATGATAGAAACAGTTAAATATATAAAGGGAATCAACACAGTAAGGAGCTTAGTCTGCACTGAGCCCTCCATGGGTGAAGATGGATTTAAAAGAAGAACTTTTAAGAATTTTTTTTTTTTTAAGAAACTATATTTAAAAGAAGAAAAACTACCACAACAAGAGGACATAGTCTTAAATTAGAGGGACAAAGGTTTAAAAATAATATCAGGAAGTATTACTTTACTGAGAGGGTAGAGGATGCATGGAATAGCCTTCCAGCTGAAGTGGTAGAGGTTAACACAGTGAGGGAGTTTAAGCATGCATGGGATAGGAATAAGGCTATCCTAACTATAAGATTAGGCTAGGGACTAATGAAAGTATTTAGAAAATTGGGCAGACTAGATGGGCCGAATGGTTCTTATCTGCCGTCACATTCTATGTTTCTATGTTTCTATGTTACTCTGACTGGCTAAGTAACTTACATTTTATATGAATGTATGTTACTTGATTGTTGTAAGTGTTGCAAATGCTTACAGCTGTATCCTGGCTATGTTTGTATACTTTTTATTTAAAAATGTATACAGTGTAAGATTCTTCATTCTTCCACTGGGTAAGTATATAAGTTCTTAGGCAATACTGTGCTTCGGAACTTCGGCACTTTGACACTTCGGAACGTCGGCAACTTCGGAACTTTGGCACTTCAGCACTTCGGAACTTCTGCACTTCGGCAATTCGACACTTCGGAAATTCTGTAATTTTGTCATTTCGGGACTTCAAACATTCGGCAATTCGGCAATTCATCTATTCGGCCATTCGGAAGTACCCAAATGTCCGAATTGCCCAAATTCGTCCGAATTCACATTGGGACCGAAACGAATTGCACATGTCTACTGCAAAGAATACCTCTGCATCAATGGCTGCTATGGGGATAAAAGGAGAGAAAGTCACGGTGTGGCCTCCATCCTCCCCTGACCTCAATCCTATTGAGAACCTTTGGAGCATCCTCCAGCAAAAGATCTATGAGGGTGGGAGGCAATTTACATCCAAACAGCAGCTCTGGGAGGCTATTCTGACATCTTGCAAACAATATCAAGCAGAAACTGTCAAAAAACTCACAAGTTCAATGGATGCAAGACTTGTGAAGCTGCTATCAAATAAGGGGTCCTATGTTAAAATGTAACGTGACCTGTTAAAATGTTTAAAAAGTTAAAATGTTGTTATAAATTTGATTGAAATAGCTTTTGATTACAGTAAATATGCTGCAAACACAACAAATGACAAAGTGTTTTGAAACTTACTGTGCGTAATAATTTGGAACAGTGCATTGTAAGTTTTTTATGTTTAAAAGAAATACTGTTATCATTAGGAGGTTTGTTCAATAAAATTTTAATTGTACTCTTAATAGTTGATAACATGAGAATTATGCTGACTGTTATTTACATCAAATATTTAAGTAAATGAGAAAAATATAATTTGCATAATTTGGAACAGGGTGTAAATACACAGACACATACACACAAATTCATATAGACACCGACATACACATGTATAGATACACACATCGCTACACACCAACATATACACACATGCACCCTGACACACACAAACATTTATACACCATGACACAGCTACACACACTGACATAAAAATACACACAGACACACATACACAGATGTGTGCTCAGACACAGAAGCACACTGACATATATATATATATATATATATATATACATACACTCACACACACACACACACACATCCACACCCACAAACACTCATACTCATACATACACACTCATACACGTGATTGTTTATAAATATCTCCAGCCACCCTCCTGTCAGCTTACCTTATGTGCTAGGAGGGTGACTTGGAGTTCTGGGGCGCCGCGGCACACAATTTGGGAACCGCTGCTGTAGCAGTAACAGTGATCAGTTTGGAGCAATCGCTGGTAAATTAATACTATACTGATGTTGTTATAAACCCTAACACTCAAAAGCGTACTGTCATAAGTCTCTAAAATGTATTGTAACTACTACAATGTTTATTGTGACATTTGGTGCACATACCAGTATTATTTTAACAGTTACCACTGTGAAAAAAAACTTACAGTCATTGCACTTTATTAACACTGTGGATATGGAGGGTATCAATATTTGCTCAGTTCTGTAGTAGTGGTAGGACTATGCCATTTTGATCTGATGTTAGTTTTCTGCAAGACTCCCACAGCACTGAAGATTCTAAACAGAGCAGAGTGGTAGGCCCTAATTGAAAAGTAGCATTCCTGTTAATTTCCTGTTGGATTCCTAAACATTCCTTCAAAATTCCACGAATAACTCTCTTTCCTGTGCTAGTCCGATGGCAGTCAAATGTATAAAGAGTTATTTTTTAATCAAATAAATTATTTACCTCTACATTTCCTCTGCTGGATTTCCAAACTGTACTGTGAGAAGAAAATGACCAAGTAGCACATACTTATACGCTATACAATTTGCATCCATTTGCAGAGGCCATCTTAAAGTATGCACACAGTAAGTATATCATTTGACCAATATAACTGCCAATGCTTTTACCAGCACAATATATAGTGTTGCAGAATAAGTTGACACTATATAAACCGCTACATTAATAATAATTAAATGGAAACTGTCACTTCTCTGGAATCTACACAACTAACACATTGAAACTCACCTAAAGGCTGACAAGGAGCTAAGATGGAGGTGACCAATTGCAGAATAAAGAGCTTTGTATTTCCATAATGAATTTATTTTTACACAAATTTGTTAAATATAAGGGGATGAGTAACCATAACATTGAAAATTCTAGAAAGGGACAGTTTCCCTTTAAATAGATATAGCTACCTGAAGAGGAGCCTTTTATCCATGTTGTTTAGAGTTCATATGAATTAGCACAAATGTGATGAGAATGTATTCATGCATATAAAAGATGCTCTGTATAAAAAAATGCATGCATAATAACATGCGCTGTATAAATTACAAAGTTCTTCCTAATAAGTTCATGACACTTATAGCATACTGTGCATTTAATTTATACACAAACATCCTGTGCACCTGTACTTAACCAGTCGGACATAATATAACCAGTACTAAGGAGAAATACGAGTGATGTAGTAGTCTTTTTCCAGTAAGGCTGCCTGCCCAGACTTCCTTTCTACATTATAAAGGACAATAAAGAATATATATTTCCTTAATTGGTTCAATGCTAGATTGATATGTAGTCATCCCAGAATACAGAGTAATTCTTCAGAAGCTCACACTGTTCTAAGTGAGCATCATTGTTTAATGATCTAAGCTACAATACAGCTGGAGTTAAGGGTTGTCTTTCTTCTTTCTTTTCCTGATTTGGAACTTTGTATGTGTATTTTAAATGTTTTACATTGAATAAAACCATCAGGAACTTTTGATTAATCTACCTTGGAAGACCCTGGCCACTTTGGGAGCTTCAGACTATACCTTTTTTTACAATTTGTCAGCCACTATTCTGAATCTCAGAACACCATTCACCACTTTGGATAGACTATGTTTTACGTTTTTTTTTTTTTACTGTTTTCTTATTTATATTTATGGGTTAGTTATTATTTTGCTTATAAAGTCCAGCACGTCCGAATTTGCTTTTAGTGTTTACACACTAGACTTTTGTTTTTGGCATCCACTTTTATTTTTCTCATTCACATTTTTCTATGCAGTTATTTTATGATATTGTGTATATCTCTATGTAGAATATAAACTTAAACTAAATCGTAATGTATTCTATGGAATGCTTGCTGATAAGTTAGCAGCAGAACTCAACCACAATCATTTGCAGAGTCCTCTACTAAGGACCATGTGTAAGGTCAGTCTCCTCTCATATCCAAATGTAATTTATGACAGTCACATGTTTAAGAGGCCAATCATCATTAGATCGTACCATATTAAAGCAGTGAGATGTTTAAGGAGTCTGTCCCTCCTATGACAATATTGTTTAATGACATGTTTATGGTTTATGGGGTTGATTTTCCTTGGACCATGCTTTTATTATTGACAGTGACATATTCAAAAGTTCTTTCTCCATGCAAACAAGCAACTCACAGACACAGTCAAGGGTTCTGGCTCCCTTACAAACAACTCATATAACCCCTAAAACAGCTGTGGAAGGGTTCAGTGTCTCCATGAATAAATTATATTAATAGCTGTAGCATGATTAAACACTTAGTCTATCCAAGCAAAATGATTTAAAGTAAAATGCTATGGCTTCTGTCTCCCAATCAACTAAACATCTCACATACTCTCAAGCCAGTAGTCAAGGAGTTCAACGGCCTCTGAAATTGAATAAATTAAATATCCCTAAAATGATTAAATAGTGCCCATCCAAACAAAAATAACACATTCTGCAATGGAAGACATGACTACATCAGGTAAATAAAGCAATGAATAAATGTGTTTTTCTCTGTGTATAGTTAACATTTATTTATTT